ACTTCATAGGCCTGACCTGGACTTTTTCTTGGGGTGATTGATGGTGGCAAATAATGCATGCACAGAAGCCAAAGAAATGGCTCAGCGGTTAAGAGCACTGGCTGCTTTTCCAGATGACCAGAGTTCAATTCCCAGCACACACATGGCAACTCAACAACTGTCTGCAGTTCCAGTTCCAAGATAACCAGACATCTTCACAACATAAACACATACAAAAAAAACACCAGAGCACATTTAAAAATAATAATAAATAATGCATGCACAAACTAGGCCCTCCCAGCTGGAAGGCACAATTCCTGCTGTATTCTTCAGAAGTCCAAAAAAGCAAAATAATAATAATGAAATGGGTTCAGTTTTCAAACTCTGTGTAATTAGCAGGGCAGAGTTCACCCAACCATTCTTCCCGGATCTCTCTGCCACAAACCTCTCTTAAAAATACAAAAGCTAGGAGAAAAGCAAAAACAGAGTGAAGATTTCCCCTACTGCTAAAGAATCTTTAAAGTGCTAAAGTAGAACTTTTCCCTCACTTTGTAGATGTGGATGGCCTGGAACTTACTGTATAGACCAGACTGGCCTCAAACTACTTCACACCGTGCACCACTGCCTGCTACTCTTGGAATCTTTACATAATTGTTTGTCCCTCTCATCTTTATCAGATACAAGTGACACAAACTTAACCTAGTAAACAAAAAAGAATACTCCTGACCATGTAACTGAGTCCTGAACATTCCTGATCACATAACAGAGTCCTGGGATAGTGTCTCTTACCTTCGATCATAGCTGCACCTTGGATCTTGTCTACCTGAATCAACTTGTCTATCAAATATACCCTGAGTCTTCAATCTATGATTACTTCCCATGCAGTTCTTTCCACAGAGGGACCCATCTACTGAGGAAAAAGGTTCCCAGTGTCAGGTCAAAAGTAAACTCAGGTCGAATGGCTTTTCCTGGTGCCTATTAGCATATCAAAATGCATGCTAGTCCCTGGGCTCTCTTCTGTTTAACAATTACCTGGGCTCTTCTTGGCTCTTCTCACCACGCCCCCTACCCTAAACTTCTCCAGCTCCAGACATCCCTTCCCCTAGTTTCTCATTTCTACAGAACCCTGTCACGCAGTCTTGGCGCTCTCTCTCTCTCTCTCTCTCTCTCTCTCTCTCTCTCTCTCTCTCTCTCTCTCTCTCTCTCTCTCTCTCTCCCCCCCC